TGTCCTCACTTCACAAACTGTCCTCACTTTAACAAACTGTCCTCACTTCAGTGAGACCATAAAGAACGTGTCCATGCAGTGGAGCATGAATGAAGCTGAGTATAATTTGTCTCACCGGTGAACACGGAGACAAAGGCCTCAGTCCCTCTGCCTCGCTCTTGACCTTTGACCTCTTGGTGGTCATGGGGTCGACCGTGCTGCTGACGGCCGAGTCGCCGCCGTGGTTCTGAGGAGAGACAAACTTTGATGGAATCTCTAAGAACATTTAGACAAGGGAAAATGTTTCTGAGCGTCTCACGGATCTGTCACTGACGGGCGTGTTTACCTTTGACGTCAGGTCGTTGTGGGCGGACGCCGGCAGCGAGGACAGGCCGAGGCCCGGCTGGCGGCCGGAGTAGGCGGGCGGCGGCTGGATGAGGGGCGGAGTGTGTCCGAAGGCGCTGAGCCCTCGCTGCTGGGAGAGGAGCTGCTGGTAGGCCATGGGGTTGATGGGATGTGGGAAAGGAAAGGACGGACTGCGAGGAGAACACGTGACCATGAGGTTCAAACATCACGTCTTCTGTTGACAGTGTGTTGATGCTGTGTCTGCAGGGAGCTACCTGAGTCCTCCCACCGACAGGTGTCCGTACGAGCTGCTGGCGGCCGAGCTGGAGCGCGAGTTGTTGATGTACGCCACCAGCGAGTTGGGCGAGGTGCGGATCATCGTCTGCAGGTCGATGCTGGCGTCTGACAGCGGAGAGATGGACAGAGCTCTCTTCCTGCTCAGCCGGGGCGTCAGTCTGGGGCTGGAGAACCGGGACACTGTGGACGCAGGTGAGTTCAAAGGTCATTTCACTGTGGACGAACTCACGATTCACCACAAGAGTTCATGTGACGGAAGAAAATAATGTTTGGATTTAAAGGAAACAAACTGAACTTACTTTATGAAAAGTCCAAAATTGATTTATGAGTTAAATGAGTGAATTTCTTAAACATAACTTTTGCGTATTCCCTGAGATAAATGTAGTAAAATATACTAATACAGACTAAATTTACAAAATCAAACTCGGATATTCAGTTTGCAGATACAAACAGGTTCCACGTGTGAGAAACGATCGTTGAAAGTTCTCTGAGATTTACGAGCTGAAACCTTTCGCGTCGTGTGGCTTCACTCGATTCCCAGGCTCCTCCCCCTGAAGGCGATCGACCGGATCACGTTTCACTCTCACACAACGATTCCTGAAATCTAAGCGGCCGCTCGTCTCCGCTCGTCTCAAACTAAATTCACTAAACCTCTTGTTAACGTTTCATCTGTGTTTGTGTTCCACCGCTGGTTTTGCTCGGGGATTGATTCTCGGCAGCAGAGCGTCGCTGCGTGAACGACTCCGCTCTGAGCTGCTGAAGTTTACAGAAGAATTCTTCCAGGTTTGGCTCCCGACCTTCAAACCCTCTTCACACGTGCCCTTGAGCAAGATGCTGCACTCGACTAAACAGTTGTGATGTTTGAAAACCAGAGGATCTGTGACGTCTGCCCACATGTGGCGACCCCATTAAGATTCAGACACGACTAATCAATCTCCCCGCAATAATTCCCCACGATCGCTTGAGATAAACATCTGTGGGTCGGACGTCACCGTGTTAAATGAGGGCAATTTACACAGAATTGATTTGGACTGCGAGGGAGCGTACGCAGAGCGACGTGATCGATCCTCAGCTCTGAGATGTAAATTCTTCTTCCAGAGGTTCAATGGCTCCGAACTCTCTGATCGGTCATTCCACCAAATATCCAGAAACACTCACGCCTGGTGTTCTAGAGCGAGACGTCTGGAAATGTTTCAAACTTTCAAATGAAATGAAATCCTCACGTTATTTAAGAGAAACTGATCATTTATTGTTAAATTGATAATCGTTGGGATGTTTACAGTCCTCACTCACTTCCTGTCTTAGATTTCGTTTTGTTCTTTAAATTCTCTTTCGTTCCAGAAATATTATCCTTAATTCTTGATTCTCAGCAGCGCTCCGTCAAGTTTCTCGTCCGTCATCGGTCGTAAAGACTTCTCCTTTTTATAAATGTTTATTTAGTTTATTTATTTAAGACGTTGAAACGTGTTTTCTCGTCTGTGCGGCTGCTGATCGCCCTCCTGACTCCTCCCTCACTTTGGATTTTGCAGCAGCTGCTCTGGAAACATTTGTCCGTCGTGTTGAATCCGTGTGTTTTCCTGCACAAAGCGAAACACGGTTGTATTTTCCTTTTTTTATCTGAGGAGAGTTTCTGTTTTCAAAAAGCAGCTGTGGCATCGTTTGAACCTGAAACCGTCCGATTCCTCACACACACACACACACACAGTCTAAATCACTCCACACACTCCTCCGTCCCGTCCAGGCCTCCCGGTGGCGGCTGCTGCTATAAATTACAATAGTGTGGGGGGGGGGGGTGGACCCAGGCTTTTCCATTGGTCCATTTATCAGGGGAAGTGGCACATTAATAAACACATCTCCCCAGAGGTGAGAGGAAGTAACAGAGATGAATACGTCTGCCAGTCCTGAACGGCTCCATCCAATCACATTTCAAATAAAATAAAAAACACCTGATCCTCTGCACCCCCCCCGCCCCGTCCCCCGCCCCCTCCCGTCCCCCATCAGACCGAGCCACGTCTCGACTTTACCTGGTTAAATGTGCAAATTAACGTCCCGCGACACCAGTCCCACAAACGGTAATGTCCTCTGAGCGCAGACGTCCCGCGAGAAAACAACATGTTTTTCTCGTCTGTGGATTTTCCTTCAATGTCCCAAGATAAAGACCCCCCCCCCTCCCCCGTCTCTTCTACACAGAGAACACATGTTGGACTGAACTCCGTCGTTAACGATCGGACGGTCGCACGCACAATAAGCTCCATGTCGGACATGTTGGTTTCCAGAGACAGGACAGGAAGTGGAGGTTGGTCCTCGTTGACTTGGATTTAATTAACGAGTGTCTGTGTTTTATTTAACAACATAATCACCTCATTCATTTTAATCTAAGGAACTTGATTCCACACAACATGTATTAGTCGGTGTGTAGGATTTACTGGCATCTTGTGGTGAGGATGCAGATTGCAGCCAGGCTCACGTTTCCTGTGTTTGGTTTAATCGACTGTAAATGAAACATCTGGAGCCCCCTGGTGGCTGGCTGCAGTATAGGTCACAAACGTTAAATAGATGAATGAAGTTCTTCTCTCACTGAGTTATCGGAGTTAATCGGTTGATTGATGATGTAAAGCGTTCGGAGACGTCATGATTGACAGCTGAGACGGACTCGTCCATCTTTATCTACAGCCTGTGAACACAACCCTGATTATCTGAGAATAATGAGGGTTTTTGTTTCAGCAGCAAACGTCTCTTGTGTTTTCAAAGTTGCAAACATCAACAACCTCCTTCCTCCTCTCCGGACCGGTGCAAATATTATTCCTCACTTTAATCCTCAGGCTCGAATCACCGAGCACACGCTGCCCTCGGCAGCTCAGAGGATTCCTCCTGCTCGCTCCCTCGCAGCAGCTCCACTAAATAACTGAACGTCCACATTTAGTGGAGACGAAGCCAAAAGTTCTCTCCGTTTGTTTTGGCCTCGGCGCCTGCTCAGTGTTCGGGGACGTCTGGAAACGGAGCTGTGACAGCTTTAGTGAGGTTCGGCTTCACGCTGCTGGCAGCCGGCCGCCGCTCTCGGCAGTTTGGCCTCCGACACCACAACACAGCCGGCTCATTCACAACGCTGAGCCGAGTGTGCCGAGCCTGCGGGGAAGAGTTTAACCCCGACCGACCGCTCGTCTGTGTGCACGTGGTCCAGGGTTCGATATCAGTTCACATTCAATGAGCTGAACTTTCTCATTCTGAGACGGGGGTTGAATTTGTCTTTGTCACATGACTTCCCTGCTCGCTCCTTCCGGTCGATGTATAAACTCTGTCCCACGTCATGACGGAGCGTTTCCTCCCCTCTGCTCTCACGTGTTCATGTTTTCACGAAACAGAGGAAACACGAGGAGGAACCGTGAGAACGGAATCACAGAGACGACGGATGAGAAGAAGTGAAACCTGCAGAAACAGTTTTTATCATGTAGATTTATGGTATTTACATTATTACGAGCGGAGCATCACTTTTTCCTGGAGGAGGAATAGAGATGATGTGGACGGACGACGTTACGCTCTTCATCATCAGGACCCCCCGCCCCTCCCCCCCTCAGACCCTTTTAAGGTGCCGAGCAAAGTGCCGGATCAAAGCAGGCATTCATTACGTTAAATATACCTGCCGCGACCTAACGTGCACTGGAAATGTCACCGCGACACAATAAGTCCTGGATGTTTATGGAAACGTGCTGGCGGAGGCTCGGCAGGGGGGGAGGGGGGAGGGGGGGGATATAGTGCAGCACCTGAAGGCCCTCGGCCGTTTGAAGTACTTTGACATGAAAAATGTATACAAGGCTTTTTTTATTTATACGCCTCCACTGTGATCTTTGTTTCATCATCCGCCTGAACCCGACGCCCTGATAGGAATTTCATTCTCCTTAATCAGCGTCAACGCCGCTCGGTGGACACGGAGACGTGGACCCGCCTGTAACCAGCCGACCTGGACCCAGCTGACCTGGACCCAGCTGACCTGGACCCAGCCGCCCGGTCAGCTGCTGCTGAACGGTGCATCGTGCTTTGGTGCTGCTCGTGTGTGAGAACGTTCACTCACCGACTCTCGCTGCTTTTTATTTACGGCTTTAGTTTGAATGTTTTCATTTAACATCTGCAGCAGGAAGCAGTTTTTACTTTGACCTTAATTCTGCGTTTAACCTTTTGACCAAATAACAAATTTAGCAGAAGAGAAAAAGATCGATGATGAAGATGATGAAGATGATGAAGATGATGATTGTTGTTGCATCTAACAGACTAAATGACGATGGACGAGAACGTGGCCAGTATCGGGTACGAGCTGCCATCTTCAGCGATCCCGTATCTGTATCGGTCCACGAGCTCGACCAATCATGAGTCAGTCTGAGCTGTCAATCATGACAGTGAATGTTTGATATCAGCCCCTCCCCCGTGTTGGAACCTGTTACTCACCGTCGATGGGGGTGATGTAGTTGGACAGGTGGGCCCCTGCCGTGGCCCCGGCCCCTTGCATGAGCAGCTCGCTGTAGGGGCTGCGGTGGCTGGCCATCAGGTGGTAATACTCCGCCGGACTGGCCCCCGGAGGAGGGGGGGGGAGGCCGAACAGCCCGCGCTCCTTCAGATGCTCGTGGGCCACTGTGGAGGGGGGGG